TCCTGTGAACTTTCTAAAGCTTACTTGTTTACATAACGACTGACTTTACTTATGTCAAGTGGCTTAAAGAGTTTAAATAGGCCAGGCACACTGGCACACACCTGTAATTCTATGACTCAGGAAGCTGAGGCAACAAGATCATAAGTTCCAGACCACCCCTGGCAACTAAGAGAGACCCTATCTCAAAATAAAAAAAATAGGAAGGATTGGGATATAGCTCAATGGTACAGGATCCCTGGATTCAATCCCTAATACCACACGCTCACATACAAAAAAGTTTAAATAATTGATTTTTGGGGGGTGGGGGTAGAAAAATCACACCCCATTACTGTAAGTTAACTGCCAGCTCCCTTATGGCTACTAGCATTATAGCATTACCTATTACTGTAAGTTAACTGCCAGTTCCCTTATGGCTACTAGCATTATAGCAAGACATACCCAAGCATCAGAGTAAATCTAGATGCAATCCACTGTATAGTCCCATAGAGAATTTAGGGATATATAAGCAAGTAGAAGTAGTTAAAGGAAGAAAGTCTAACTAAACAGAAAAAAATATGTATTGGAAAAGTAAAGTTTTAAGGAAAACATAACCAGAAAAGGTTGATCAACTAGTATGTACCCATAGGAAATAGTTAAAGAAATAACTAACCAGAAGAAATAACATAACCAGAAAAGGTTGATCAACTAGTATGTACCCACAGGAAATAGTTAAAGAAATTTAAAAGCTGGACACTGTGGGAACCTGTAATCTCAGCAAGTAAGAAAGCTAAGGCAGGAGATCACAAGTTCAAGGACAGCTTCAGAAACTCAGTGAAACCCTGAGCAACTTAGTGAGACCCTGCCTTAAAATAAAAAATTAAAAGGCTGGAGATGTAGCTCAGTGGTACAAAAGTGCCCCTAGGGTCAATCCCTAGTGCTGGTTTAAAAAAAAAAGAAAAAGAAATTCAAAAATTAAAAACATGTAGAGAGGTTGGGGATATAGTTCAGTAGTAAGGCATTTGCCTAGCATGTGTGTGTGCAGCCCTGGGTTTAAGCACATGTAGAAAAAGTTACCATGTAGAAATACGCAAGAGCACACTTGGCTGCCCAATAGATRGAACCAGTCTTCACTGCCTTGATCCACATGTAGTAGGTGAGGAGCATGCAAAAGATGGCAATCCCTGCAGAAAAAAAACACCAAAAATTCAAGAGGCTATGCCAGCAGAGTGGCTAAGAATACTGTTTTGAAGCAGACTGCCTGATTAAGATCTTTTATCTACTACTTAGTAATACTGTAATTTTAGGTAAATTATTTTACCTCCCTTTGTCTCATTTTCCTATTAAAAAAAGATGTCTGATATAGTAGCTACTTTATAAAACTGTTGTGAAGATAAATATAAATAATGCACATAAAGAATTTAGGTTGGGTGCCATGGCACACACATGTAATCCCAGAAGCTCAGGAGGTTGACACAGGAAAATCACAAGTTCAAAGCCACCCTCAGCAATAACAGGGAGCTAAGCAACTCAGTGGGACCCAGTCTCTAAAAATAAAGTACAGAATAGGCCTGGGGATGTGGCTCAGTGGTCCAGTGCCCCAGAGTTCAATCCCCAATATTCCCCCACTCCTCCCCCCAAAAAAGAATTTAGAACAGTAAGCRCTCAGGAAATGTAAGCCAATATTATTTTTGTTCTTTCCAGACATTATATTTCCTGCTACTTCTAAAGAAGTACTATACTATCATGCGCTGTCCTGCCTCTAGATCGTAACATAAGCTGGCTCTGGCTGCAACTCATCTTAATATCTACCTAATGAAGTATTAACGTCAGGGCCCAGTTCAAACTCAATCACTTCCAGAAAGCTTGATGACAAAAACCCAAGATAATCTCTCCTTGTACTTTATTCTTTTTTTTTTTTTAATATTTATTTATTTTTTTTTTTAGTTCTCGGCAGACACAACATCTTTGTTGGTATGTGGTGCTGAGGATCGAACCCGGGCCGCACGCATGCCAGGTGAGCGCGCTACCACTTGAGCCACATCCCCAGCCCTTGTACTTTATTCTAAAGTGGTCTTTATATTTTTATCAGAGCACAAAGCACTATATGCCTGTTACTAGAGTAATTTTTTTTTTAAAGAGAGAGAGAATTCTTCAATATTTATTTTTCAGTTTTCAGTGGACACAACATCTTTATTTTTTTTATGTGGTGCTAAGGATTGAACCCAGAGCCCCACGCATGCCAGGCAAGCGCATTACCGCTGAGCCACATCCCTAGCCCTAGAGTAATTTTTATAGGTCCATTTTTACCATACCAGATTATGGRCCAACATAATATTTATATAGAGATCCCTGGGCTGGGGAATATAGCTCAGGTGGTAGAGTGCTTGCTTCGCATACACAACACCCTGGGTTCAATTCCCCAGCACCACAAAACAAAACAAAAATACTATAATCTATCCCTTTAATTTAATTATGAGCCAAAACAATCTTATTCATTATCTATCTTTATAATATTTAATTAACACTGTCTTCCAGAAAACGACTTTCAATACATTTAGAATTTTAAAAGTCATTATAATTTTTAAGGATAAATATATCCCTTTATCTAAGAAAATAAAACAAATAATTATAATGTTAAAACAAGAGTTAACTCTGAGTCCTGAGATGAGCCAAGAGCTTATAGATTTACCAGTTACCTCTCTAGCAGGAATTTCAGGATAAAACAAACTTGTCCAAGATCCCTTCTTGCCCATTTCTAAAATTCTTACCAAGTATCATTTTTATTATTGCTAAGCCTTAGATCTGACCCAAATTCTAGGGTACTTTGTGAAATTCTATTGGATAATGAAGTTAATGAAGTGAACAGACCCCCTTTAGCATTTTACATGTCTACCTTCATTATCATAGGAACCAGCCACAGATCGGGAGATATATCCAGGAACTACAGCAATCATGGCAGCAGCAAGAAGTCCAGCCCCTGCATCCTAAGAAAAAATAATAAGARTTAACACCAACACATCTATGAGAGAGAACAAATAACCAATAACCCGCTAGTTTATTCTGATTAAATGGGCCTAGAGAGCACCCAACAATTTCCAAGGTAGATGTGAAGTACTGCAAATGCTCACAGCACCAAGAAAGCTAAAACTTTTATAACCAAGTTCCCATGACACCAAGTCTAAAACTGAGTACACATATACTGAGGACAGATTAAGTCACATGAGCTACCTAAATATCAGCACTTGCCCCAGAATGTGCTATTTGTTTTTTTTTCTTTTTAGTTATACATGACAATAGAATGTATTTTGTACATTTTGTACATACATGTAGTATAACTTCCCATTCTTGTAGTTGTACATGATGTGGAGGTATACTGGTCATATATTCATATATGAACAAAGGAAAGGTATGTCTAATTCATTCTACTGTCTTTCCCATTCCTATCCCCCACCCTTCCCGCAATTCTCCCAGTCAAGTTTGGTAAAGCTCCACTCCCACTCCCCATTGTGAGTTAGCATCCGCATATTAGAGAGAACATTCAGTCTTTGATTT